TTAATCCCGTTATATATATGGAAACGCCGTCAAGATTCTCGATCATCTGAGAGAGAAGAAGAACCACGTGAGGTATTTGTTGTTTTTCCCCGTTGAAGTTCACTTTAAGAAATAACGGCTTTGTTGATAATGTTATTTTAAGTATTTCATTTGGAGTCGAGTCTTGAGCTTGAACGGGGATTAGGTTTTCCTTTGCTCTTTTCTCTTTGTTTTGTGGTAAGTAGAGAGTAAATTGTTTATCTTCTTCTGTTGATGAGTAGAGTTTAGATGTCAAAACCTGAAGGTATTTTGATTCAATTCGTTTGGTTATTAGCAGAGTTGTTTGGCGAGGAGATCTATTTGGTTCACAATCATAATGATTTGGAAGGTTAACCCTCTGGATTTATTTACTTTTCTTAAACAATCGTGATTGAGTTGCAGGTCCCAAGGAGAGAAACTGTGGTACGCGCTACTGGTGCTCGTCGAATGCGGCGGAGACCAGCGGCTTCTGGGGCTAGCTCATCATCAGCAAATGTTGAAGGTGGGTAGCGTAATATTTGGACTTTTTTACTTGTTACTTGTTACTTGTTAGATTTTAATTTTTATTCCTTCTGAATGCTAGTTCCTTTTCTTGGTAGTAAAGCTGGTCCTTGTTTATGTAGGTACCTTGATCACTTGGCTAGTAATTAGATGATTGTAAGAGGAGATGGATTACATATTAGATGATTGTAAAATTCTGGTTTCAATCAATATAAATTTGATGATTATTATTCTTCGGTACATAATGTGATGGTTACCTGAAGTTATTTAATGACTTCTTTGACTGATTAATATGGGCCATAGTTAGCAATTCTTGTATAAATGTTGATGTAAATTTACAAGGTTCTTTATGGATGCACCAAATCTCGTGCTGTGTAAGCTTCGTACCTGTTTGCCCATAACATTTCTTATTGTGTTCTGGAGCATCCTTTGTTGCGTTAAATTTGGTATTCTATGTACTACTTTTGGAGTAATTATTCATACAAATGCAAATGCAGAAACGTTGGATGAAAGTGATGATGAAGGTGTGGGGGGTGGATATTATGAGGCTAAAGCATCAAAGAAGAAAGAAAAGAAGCGACAAGAGAGGGAAGCACAAAGACAGGTTTACTAGTTTTTCTTTTCATATCTGGTTATCAGCAAATGACTCTTTGTCCTGTTCAGGCTAAATAGTATAAAGAATGCTCAATTGTGATTGTTTATGAAGCCTATAAGTTTTATCAAGTTTCAAATATTAACATTAGATTTCTGCTGGGAAACTTGAGCAATATTTTGGTCACTTGAGAATATGAACTTCCTCTGAACTTCAGAGAAGCTTGCAGCAACCTTGGCTGCTTATTTGGTCTTAGTTGCATCATCTTGTTCACACTCTTTGTGTTTACATTGGTATATTAATTGTTCAGTATACATCCCCCTGGGCGTGACTTTTGCCTTCAAATTTTTTATCTCAAAAAAAATTAATTGTTCAGTATACTGAGTTCTGGATCATTGTGATGAAGGCTGAAGATGCTGCACGTGAGTCAAGGCAGACAAAACAAGACCGTTATTCAGAAATGCGGAGAAAAAAGGATGAGGAGCGAGAGGTGCAAGAACGTATGCTGGTGGGTTGATTGGCCCCTTCTGCAAGAAAAAGAGCAGCTATGACTGTTTCTTCTACTTTTTATGGTGTTTGGTACCAAGGTAATCTGGGAATGTTTTATACAGGAAGAAGAAGTGAAAGCCCGGCAGGCCCGGGAAGAGGAGGCTGCTGCAATGGAGTTTGAGAAGTGGAAAGGGGAATTTTCTGTTGATGCTGAAGGGACAACGGAGATTGAAGGGCAAGACAGGAGCCAGGATTTGCTTTCTGACTTTGTGGAATTCATAAAGGTATTCTTCACTTGTCTGCTTTCAACTGCTGGGGTTTCTACTATTTAGTTTGCAATAAACACTCCATTGGTTAGTGTTAGAAACCCCTAAAGCAAGTTTTTCTTTGATCTTTCAATTTCCATTTCTTTTTTCAATTCTCATAAAAAGCGCTCTTTTCATGAATAATTGAATCTGTTGTAGGAGTAAATTATTGTCATATGCAAGTTTATGTTCTTGTCTGCCAGTCATGTCAATGATTATGATCAGCACTCAAACTTAAAGGTCATTTCCTGATACTTCATTGTCTTTCATATTGTTGCAGAAACATAAATGTGTTCCATTAGAAGATCTTGCTGCAGAATTTAAGTTACGGACCCAGGTACTCATCCTAGCTACTGTTCCCTTAAGATTATTCTTTTTGAAGGTTTGAAGAATGGAAAATCCTCTTCTACTTGTCTTAATTTCATTCTTGGTGGTGCTACAATTTATAGAAAATAAAGCAACATAAATAACAACTTCCTAATAAATCTGTCTAACAAATTTATGGGGAGAAGGAATTGCAGAAATGGTTGTAACCATTTTGAGATTCTCTCCACTAGGCAAAACAGAAAAGAAACAAATTTATTTTCCTACATTTTCTACACTCTCCCTCAATCTAGTTTACATAGATGTTAAGTAAACCTAGATTGGATACAATGTTATCAAAGGTTCCTCTTGGTAGAGTTTTTGCTAGGATGTCCGCAACCTATTGACTTGTTGAGATATGCATAAGGGTTATAGTTCCATCTTCCAATTTTTCATTGATAAAGTGTCGATCGATTTCTACATGCTTGGTTCAGTTATGATGAACTGGATTCTTAGCCATGCTAATGGTTGATTGGTTATCACGCCAAACCTTCATAGAGGTACCATCATAAACTTTTAGTTCTAAAGTATCATTTTCAACCACACTCCACATATTCCATGAGAAAGTGTTCGGAATTTAGATTCTGCACTGATACGAGATACAACAGACTATTTTTTATTGCGCCAAGTTACTAGATTGCCCCATACATAGGTACAGTATCCTGATGTAGATCTTTGTTAGTTTCTGATCCTGCTCAGTCAGCATCAGTGAAGGATTTCAATATCCATTTTTTCTGTTTTCTGAAAGAACAATCCTTGACCTAGAGTCATCTTTAAGTACCTCAGAATTCAATATACAGCCGTCATGTGCTTCTCAGTTGGTTGATT